GGATCCAGGATTTTTCGTACGTTAGTCAAAGTTTTCGGATGTACAATCTAGTTTTGCGAGCGGCGAATGCGCGAGGCACCTAGGGGGGTCTGTCCCCCAGGAATTTTTATATTTTTAAACCTCAGAAACGCAATTTGCATCACTCTGAAAGCAGCTTCAACAAAAAATTAACTTTATGAAATGGGAGCTAATTATAGCAACTATCAGTCTGACTGACTCTCACAACTCGCTCCTTAGGGAAAAGTAAAGGGGAAGTACTTGCAGAAATGCGATAATTGTGGAAGATGTTTCATTTTATCTCATGATAGTACTACACTCATTTTTGTTGCCTAATAGCCTTGTTGAGTCATTGATCACTTGACTAGTAATCACTACAGTGTCATATTACTCAAATAAACATATATCAATATAATAATCATCTATAAAACCTGACCTTTATATCCTATGTATACTGCATTAATGCATTTATATAGGTTATCCTCCATATTAATAGGCTATTAATAATAGCCTTCTGAGTTCTGACTGTCCTTCAACCGCAGAATTACAAATATGCAAATTTGTTGTGTAAATCAAAATTCATAGCTAAATCTAAATCAAGATACGCGTATTCAAGTTACAATTTTACATATGCATGGCGCGCATCTTGTTCGCTTATAAATATTGTTATGCTGTCTAAAACGAAATAAAATTTACATATCACATTAAATTTACCTTATTGCACTTCAGAATAAAGATCTCGGCGCCAATACTTCTACTCAAACAGTCAAACTGTAGGTCGTGCTATTCGTGGCGCTTACGCCGCTTAGCAACTGCTCACTGAATGGAACTCTCCGATATTTAGCGTTGATTTTCCTCCCAAGATCAGCGCAACAGTCTTGTAAGACAGCTAAATCATTCACCGCAAATGTGGATTGAACCGTTTCGTGAATACTACAAGGACTGGAGCAGCAGACATTTCCGAATTTTCCGTAGATATCTTTAAATTGAATCTTTTGACAAAGCTACAACATGACACTTCGAATGAGCGCGCGCTCGGAAAGACTTTACCACGCGTCAAGTATTAATGATATTCCGACTAATGAAGCGCCCCTGACTTTTGTAAATCGGTCAGAACTCCCCACAGATCAGTCAAAATCGCAAAAAATTGCTTGTTACCATGGCAATAAGCGTCTAGACCAATCAAAACACTGGATTTTGACTTTTTGACTGACCGACTTTGCGTATGTCAGCTGCTCATTGACTTGACTAAGCTCGTCGGCTCAACCAGTATGAAATTTGATCACTGGACTACAGTTCGATTGGAATGTTAATTGCTAGCGCTGCATGATAATAGATACTGGACTATTATAAGGTGTCGCTGCATGATAAAAAATAACTGGACCATTGGTCGAATATTTAAGACTTTAATTAAGTTTGCAATTTTTACGTTAGTCGCGTGACTGGTTTGACGACCCCTAGATCCGCCCCTG